TTAACCAGTTATCAATCCAGGTCGCTACAGTTCCTAAAATACCTGTCGCTTTGAGTTTAAGTGAGAGCCTCTTGTGGGCTATGTATTATTATTATTATTATTATTATTATTATTATTATTATTATTATTAAAGCTTCATGAACCGTTTGCTGTATTTTCTGACTCCATTAGATGGTGCTCTTTGGTTACTTTGGGGCATGCTTTGAGTGCTTTCTTAACAGAGAGGTTGTTGGGAGTAGTGAGCCACAGCCAGCATGCGACTGGGCAAGCATACAGCACAAATATACAGTGGATTACGGTATGTGGAGGGGAACTGAAGGCAACATGGATGCAGTCTATGAAAAGTAAATGTAAGTGAATTAAAAAGTGTTGCTATGTTTTTATATGATAATTTGGCAAATATTTTTAGATTTTTTTAGAATCTAAGACTGTGCAATGTGTGCGTGAACAAAAAGTTAGATATTTTTAGATCTGAAAACCAGTTCGACCGATTCACTGAAAAGATCCAGTTCAAAATAACAACTTATTCAGTAATCAGACATCACTATCGTTTATTTCAGTAGCTGTTTTTGCATCCATATCCTATTGTAGTCCGTGTAGTGATTTTCTCTTCGACTGAAAATCACACAAACACAAATGCGATTCTGCATCATATTAGACTTGGGTACTAATGTGTCAATCGCGTTAGAACAGATTCGTTGTGTGATATCATTCAGGGTAAACAGAACTGAATGATCATTGAATATTTGCTTTGTATGGTTTGGTATATGTGGTGGCACAGTAGCAAGCACTGTTACCTCACAACGCTGGGAGCAGGGTTCAAGTCTCTGCTTGCAGTTCCATGTATGTACAGTATGTCATCATGGGATTTTCTCCAGTCTCTCCCCACAGTCCAAAAATATGCTGCGGTTAATTTGAGTTACCAAATGGTGTATAAGTTTGCCCTGTGATGGTTTGGTGCCCCATCTTGGATAGTTCCTTGCCTTGTACCCATAGTCTCTGGAACAGGTTTCAGACTCACCACTACCCTGAATAGGACAACCAGTTACAGAAGCTGGATGGAGAGTGTAACACAGAATTAAACACCTAAAAATACATAGCTAATATCTTTCTGTACCAGTGAAATGCATAAATCTTCCGTTTTGATTTCCATAAATGTAAAAACATTCTTTTCAGTCAAACCAATCAAATCAACAGCTTGACCCTAAGCATCTGCTTTATCCAACTGAATAACTGTAGTCTCAGGGACACAGGGCTCAATTTTAGCAGAAAATTACTTGAAAATACAATAACTGAATGCTTCATCTGCAATATGCTATGCTAATGGATTCTCAGAGGCACGACTACACAAGTATGTTTTAAAGCTGAAGAGGCCGTAATTTAGGTGTGTAATCAGAGTGACCATCAGTGATGTTTCATTGCTGCAGGCACGAGAGACACTTCCAGAAAGACACTCTATACTAGGAAAGCATGATTCCATTTCCGAGTGGTGCAGAATAACAAGGATACCATGCAGAAAATGACAAGAATCCAGAGACTAATAGCACTGCAGTCCAGAGACTGACAGTAACACTATCGAGACTGACGGTAACACTTTTCAGAGACTGTTGGAGACACCCTTCAGAGATTGATAGTAACACTGTCCGAGACTGACAGTGAGACTGCCCAGAAATTGATGAAGAGACTGTCTAGAGATTGACAGCACTGAAGTCCAGAGACTGATAATAACACTGTCCAGAGACTGACTGCACTGCAGTCCAGAACCTGATGGTAACACTGCACAGAGACAGATAGTAACACTGTCCAGAGACTGACTGCACTGCAGTCCAAAGATAACACTGACAATGCCCAAAGACTGACAGTAACACTGTCCAGAGACTGAGGGTGACATTCTACAGTCTGACAGCACTGCAGTCCAGAGACTCACAGTATCACCATCCAGAGACTGATGGTAACATTGTCCAGCAACTGACAGTAACACTGTCCAGAGACTGATAGTAACCCTGTCCAGAGATTGACGGTAACACGGCCCAGCAACTGACAGTAACACTGTCCAGAGACTGATAGTAACCCTGTCCAGAGACTGACAGTAACACTGACTGACTGTCCAGAGACTGATGGTAACACTTTCCGAAACTAACATTGCCACTCTCCAGAGTCTGACGGTGACACTCTCCAGAGACTGACAGTGACTCTCTCCAGTGACTGACGGTGACACTCTCCAGAAACTGACAGCACAGCTGTCCAGAGACTGACAGAAACACAGCCAAAAGAATGTTGGTGACACTGTCCAAAAACTGAAGGTAGCATTCTCTAGAAGTCTAGATACTGACAGTGACACTGTCCCGAGACGAACAGCACTGCAATCCAGAGGTTGATGATAACAGTCCACAAAATGAAAAAGAGCCTAACAACAATACAATCTTCACTTTGACAGTGATGCAGTCCAAAGAATGGCTGTAATACAGTACAGAGACTGACTGAAAATGCTGAAAGAACAGCTATACAGACCAGAGAATATGAGTGAGAATTCCACTGGGCTTGCTGGAGGCATCAGAGACAATGTGCCAAATATCTGCAGGATGTTCAGCGGTGCGAGAATTTTATTGACACGACCCAGTAGGATAAGCGGGTTGGACAATGGATGGATGGATGGATGGATGGATACCCCCACCTTTAAGCGATCATTTGGCATTCAATGATTATTACTGAGACTGCCATGTTCCTGTACCTATGTTTGTGTGTTTGTCAGTGTCATAATGAAAGTGTGCGAGAGAGAGAAAGCTGGTTTGAGTTATGAAGGCACATATCTAAGACGTGCTAATAAGCCTCACTTTCCCTGCTGTGCCCCCCAACCCCTCCCCTGCATTTATTGCTATTCAATAGACAACATGGCAGCCAGGCCAGCGGACTATAGGCTGGTCAGGGCTGTATTGGTGAAAAGGCAAAAGAATAATATTTGAAGTGAGAAACCAATACACCTCACGGGGTTTATAACCAGTGGACTCAGCACTGCAATATCTGGCATGTAGGTTCAGGGTATGCAGACATCCATTCTCCTGGATTCTAGGGTGGAATAATTCATTAACATTGCTATGCTTGTTCTACAGAAACCACTTTGTGGACATATTATGCATTTGTGCGATTGTGCATTTCTGTGCAGAAATGCTACACTGTGCCTTTTCTCACTGAGCTCTTTGTGGCATCTTGAGACAATAAGGAAGGTGTTTCTCTCTGGAAAATAAAATGGCACAACAGCTGTCAGCCTTAGCAAACCAATTCCCATAAAAGCGGCGCGCTGAACCCTCACTAATATGATGCATTCTGACCAGATGAAAGCGGGAGAAGGCATGGAACAAAATACTTAATTCTCTAACTTCTCAGAACAAAGGAAAGGTACTGTGTTTTACTCCTCCTGTAAAGCGTGTCTATTAGACCTATTATGAATGATCTATAAGCCTCTGCTCTTGCTCTCCAGCAGTACAATTGGCTAACGTCTAACATCAATGTCAGCCAGTCTTACTTATGTTAGGGTAGATGGTTAACAATCTAGACGTGACAATGAAAACTTGTGGGTGCAGATCGTGGTGGAGGCCTGGGCTGTATCTAAATGACCTGTTACTCTCTGAACTTTAGGAGGCCTGGAAAATTAATTTGGTAAAAGTCTAACAAAGGCAATACGAAATGTCGACAACCTATGCTCTGTTTAAAAGCAGAGCCATTGTCACCGTTTTCACTGACGACTATTTTTTGTAAACATGAAAATGGGTTCAATCAATGTGATCTGCACAATTAAATACTTTCTTGAAACCATCTTCCCACAACAATCACATTAAGTCGATGCATATGACTCAGCAGAAAAAAATTGCAGATTTTATCAAACAAATCTTTTTAGATAAACTTGACTGCAACATTTATACGAAGTCTTCCCCCGTTCACAATAACACATGATTGTGAACAACTTGTAATTTCATGGTGTCTGACACATAAGAAATGTAAAAGGCACTTTTTTAATAAAAAAAAAGTGTGTCAACACATAATAAATGCTGAGAATAAGGCAGGAATACTCTACGGTGTCAGCAAGGCTCGGGGGGGGAAAGAAACTTCACACGAGGCTAGCAGAGGGTGGCATTGCAGTGTATTTCTTGGAGAACTGTTCCATTTGGTGTCCCTGTGGAAGCCATTTATGCACAGAATGAGAACACTGATGGTGGAAAACAGAGTTATGGGTGACCATCATTTTTAAAGCAGCAGGTGGACCAGCATTTTCTCCTGGCAGGACCAAATGGATCATTTCTTAAATATCATCAGGCGCGTCTTAAAGTGACATACAGTAGCCTTTTCTGCGAACAGACCTCCTGTGCAAGCGGGTAACATGTGATGTGCTTTTCAAGGATTAAACAGACAGAGTAGCTGTACCAACCATCAGGTGTAAAAATACAGCTATTTCAGTGCAACACCTCACATCGCCTGCTGTCTCATATAAAAATATCTAATTAGATTTTATGTTTTCACACACGCTCGCGTGCACACTAACCCATGCAGGGACCAGAGTCCACGCACAATTGCTCATGAATGTCTCATTACATTCCACTTGCAGTGTGCTCATCTCGCGCCTTTTCAAGTCAAGTGTCGCGTGATTGGGCTGTGGGGCTGGAGAAGATTCGATGGGCCACTCTGATCACTCTCCTTCCTGCGCATCCGTCCGCGGGGCTTTTATGATGTCAGAGGCGCCTGGCGTGGGCGTTTCACCGCGTAATGGATGCTTCTTTGTTCTGCTGTTTCAAAGGGGCCGTACAAGTGGCGTCCTCCTCGTGGATGATGCATTATTCAGTGTCTGAGTCCCTCTGCAGCTACAGAGCCCACTGGCCCCCCACTGGATCACACTCCCCAGCAGTATTTATAGAGTATTCCATTTATTCCCATTGCTATAATGTGAGAGCTAGAAAAATAAACACTTGCACAGGTCGTCTCTGTTGAATGGACAGAGTAATTAACAGGCGACGACTGACCGACCAACTGACAGATATCTTGGTTTGTTCCGGTGATCCGTAGATTAAGAATCGTTTATGTCACCTCGGGCACCATTAATGAAGAGTGAACTGAACTGCTACACTCAGTGATGATCACACTGTGAGACAGACTGAGACTAAACAGCTAATCGCTTGCCTACTGCAGACCCTGGACTGTTAGCTACCTCAGTATATAAGAGGCTAATATAAAGCAAGTACTTACATTTCCCCCTACAGAAACAAAGTTGTGAAATATCTTGTTTACCCTCTGTATTTTTACAATCCATCACAAGTAAGCTTAGCTTTGCATGTGTAGGTATAATTTCTCTCTACTTTTAGACTTTCATTGCCTACGCTGCATAGTATAAATTGTTTTGAAAGCTCGCACAATTATATCTGATACATAAAAATGTCTGGCTTGCATTTAAATGAGCAAAGTGCTGGTAGGGTGAACGAGTTCTTTGGGCGACTCTCTCACAATGCAGAAGCACCTAACCTCAGCCATCCTGCACGACTCAAATGTGGAAAACTAGCGGCCTATGGCACTGAATCGGAGGACGTGTAGGGGAGAGAGGAAAGGCGAATGATTCTTCGGCTGTACTTTGGTGGGTCAGGGTACAAGTGCAGTGCTGACACTCAGCAAACAGATGCACTGCAATTCTAGCCCGATCCGTCACTGCACTGCCCAGACCTGCACTGCACTGGGGGTGTGGAGTCATCTGTCCACGCTGGTCTCCGCCAGCCGGTTGTTCATGATGGCCAGGGCGCCGACCCCGTCGGAGAAGCCATTGTGGCGCGATCCAGAGCCAGACTGCCGCGGGTGCCCGTTGGCCGTTTCCGAGAGCTGCTTCTGCATGATGGCCAGGTTCACCTTGTTGGCAGCCAGGAAGTCCCTCATGGAGATCATCTCCCCAGACATGCGACGCCCGTCCGTCTCTTCACTGTCATTGACAGCGTCCGTCTCGATGGAGACGTTGTGGCGGATACGGGCGCGACGAGGCCCCACTGCGTTACGGCGGGGGCGGAGCCCCATACGCGGGCAACACGTGCCAGCATGGGCACACCAGGGTCGGGTTAGCCTGCCCAGGATCCAGTTGAGCACCTGCTTGATGACGATGGAGATGACGTTGAAGAGCGAGTAGATACAGCACACGCCCGTTAGGATGAAGAGGAAGTTGCCCAGCCGGTAAGCTGCCTGGTTCTCGTACGATGCCCGCTGGCCGCTCACCAGGTCCCCGAAGCCGATGGTGCTGAAGGCCACAAAGCAGAAGTAGAGCGAGTCAAAGTATCCCCAGCCCTCGACTGCCGAGTACATGGCTGACGCACAGCAGGACACCAGAACCGCCGCCAGACACAGGATCAGCATCACATAGTAAACCGAGGGCTTCCATCCCGCCAGGCTCTCGCCCCGGCCATCGGGGGCGCTGCATGCCTGCCGACTGCCATGAGGCAGCACCCCTCTCCGCCGCCTCTGCCTTTCGTGGCACGACTTGAGCACGAAGGCCAGCACGGTGATGAGACGCTCCAAGAACAGGTTGAAGAACAGGATGGTGGCAGCACAGCCGATGAGGCCATAGAAGATCAGGAAGACCTTCCCGCCCACGGTGGTGGGGGTTGTCATTCCGAATCCTGGGCAACAAAAAAGAAGGTCAAAGGTCAACATTAGGGCTACTGGGAAACCAACTGGACAGAGTCAACACACACGTTTATATGTCAGAATTCATCTTTGGCTAAAAGATTACACATTAAATGTACCTATATACAGCAACATGTTTCAACAAATGTATTATTCTTTATTTTCTCACTACATTTATGAATGAAATTACATACATATGTGCACACTTTAATTTTAGATCTTTCCATTTATCTTGCCTAGGAAGCCTACACTAGCCTACAGGAAGCTTAACTTCTTCTTTCAAGGGCTAGTGTTAGTTCATGAGAGTGACTCCAAGGAGGAATGAAGCCTGTAGGTGTTTTGAGGTAAGTCAGGTGCTTTGAGACAACCCCTCACAAAGGAGGGCAGAAAAGAAGCATCCTTATGTAGCTGCTGGAACCGGTAAAGCCTGAGCCAATGGGAGATGGAGAAAAGGGAGGGAGCAGCCAGAGACCTGCCAGCACAGCTCACCCCCCCACACACACACACACAAAGCAGAGAGCCTCTAGCTTGTTAAGATCGGAGAGTTGTGTCTCCTAATAAGAATGATCGGTGTTTATTTTCACAGCTGCCGATCACCACTGCGACAGGCAGTATGTTGCCACTGGTGACCGTGAGAAAGATTTGCTTTTGCATGGCGGCTTTGTGCACTCAGATACACAGGTACCCCTGGGATCTTCATGCATTTGTTTATTTTTTTTTAACAGTGGTGCTCTGGGAATGTGAATCAATCCTAAACAAAACCACAGGAAAAACAGACTGTCCATTTTAGAGTGGCAGACGTCACAACAGGGACTGAGACCACTCAGCTAAAGCTGGTGCACTGGGCTACACACCCACAATGCTCCATGGTTCCTGAAACCACTGGAGAGCACACTGCAGGAAGCAGGTAACCAGAAGGATTTGGGGCTGCTGACTGGATGGCCAGCTTCAGGATGAGAGGCACCAAAGCTAGACGCAAATGCCAAAGACCAGCAAACTTGGAACAGGAACCAGGACATGGGAATCAGGATGGGGCTGATTCACAAAAACAAGATAACCAGAACAATCCTAAACATAAGGTAGTGGTCGCCCAACATAGGACCTAACCAAGACCTAAACTAACCGAACAAGATGCTGGCTAATTAGAAAAAATCCCGTAAGCTCAGTAGCAAAATTCCATATGTCAGGCAGCCCTGACTGACACTTGAAAATAAATCACAAATCCAAAAGCTAGACTCCTAACCAAAGTAAGTTATGAGCCTCACAATCAAAGAGCAATGTTCAGTGCTCGGCTTAAAAAGGATTCAGAGCCAGATACCTGTCAGCATCAGACGGGGAGGCGAGCAAGGAAGCAGGCGAATAGCAGCCAGAATTAGGGAAACGGGGTTTATTCTCAGGGACGGACAGGCACGGACATCCAACGAGACAATACAATGACGGAACTGGGGACTACTAACTCAGACGAGGACTAAATACACAAGACAAGCTAGACTTAATAAGACACAGGCGAGCACAATCAGGGTTGAACACGAGGTAATGAGGGGGGCGTGGCACACATCGGGATCGTACGGAGCAGGGTGTGACAATACCACTGTCTCAGAGCAATATCACAAACTGATTGCCACATAACAGAGGTGTCACAGCTAGCTTATAATTTTCATAATAATTTCAGGACAGACAGTCCATTCCTCCTTAGATGAGTTGTAAATTTTGTGCTCCGGTACAATAAGGTGAATCTCCACAAGGTGTGACTGGAACACATGGCCTGACCTGAGGTGATCTTGTTGTACCACTCCATGATTGAGGCTTGGGTGGGATACATACATTTTCACTCTCTTTGATTTTTGTGTATGTGCATGTGTGTGTGTGTGTGTGTGCGAGCGGGTTTATCTATCCTTATGGGGACACAATGTCCCCATAACGTGATAAATATACATTTTTTTCCCTTATGGGGACCGGTTTTCTGGTCCCCATATGGGAAAACTCTATTCTATAAAAATCAGTGACTGCTA